TGACACTCTATGCTCGCAGCAACCCGCCGCTGGGCCGTGTCACCGCCCCCGCAGCACTGACTACGGGCAATCGTGTGCGCTCTCGTAGCCGGGTTGCCTTGTTCAAGTCAGCCGATGCCGCTTCTCAAGCCCAGGACAAGAGCCTGGCTAGTCTGCGTGATGCCTTCAGCGAGTACTACCTTAGTCTCATCCTGCTGCAGAACTTTGAGGTATGTTTGAGGATTGAATGCGCTCTCTTACCCCACCTGAAATTTCACTGACTAACGTTGCTCACTGATCAAATAATTATGCAATCTTTCCTCTTCTGTCTTAAATCCTACTCTATTTTTCTTTTAACTGGTTTGAGGGAAAGAGACAAACGGGAAAGGTCTGAAGAAAAAATTGACTGCCACCACCAGGACTCGAACCAGGGACCCTCGCTTGTAGCCAGCGATGCTCTAACCACTGAGCTATGGTGTAGTCGTCATACCAGCAGAGGCCGTTCAACATTTTCTTCAGACTTCGTAACTCACGCTTCCTGTGAATCTACACAGGCGGGTGGGACGCAGCCCTCACTGTTAGGCCTCGGTCACACTACGGCAAAAATGCTGCGTCAGCGTCAGAATCATGACCTTTTCCATGGCAACTGACGCAACGCGGGAAGTTTGAGCGTCAGACGCTGCTGCGTCTGACGTGGGGAAATCGGCTGCGTTGCCGCTGATGGGAGTGACGCTTGGCGGAAAAACAGTGTCTTTCAAGTAAAATTAGTTTCAAGACACTTTGCTTGAGTTGAGCAGTTATTCGACATTCGTCTGTTCAAGGTTTGTTTTGTTCCCTCTTTTTGTTCGAGATGAGTCCGTGGACCTACGAGGCCGAGGCTGCTCTGCTCCGAACCTGGCGGAAGAGCGAGGTGCTTTCTGAGAAGAAAATGATGTCGAGAAAGGACCAGTTGTTTGAGTGGGTCATCGGCCAACTGGAGCCTGTTGACTTGTGAGTGTTGTGTTGTCGTCAAGAGCCCCAAAAAGGACAACCAGTATGACGAAGTCAGGAGAAACACAGCTGCGATGCAGACTTTTCTTGCCTGATCAATGACACTACAACTGAAAATGGCTTCAAATTCGGAAAGAAACAACAACGATCGTGCACGCGTGGACCTAGTACCTTTCGTCTTCTTGTAATCAAAAATCAATGAAAAATTCGAAAACTTTGTCCGACAAATTTTTTGTATAATAAGCAAAAGGCCGGTTTCCGTGGGAATCCGTGTCGTCATTGAGTTTTCCTGGTGGTTTTGTGACGTAGACAAATGCGTCAAGCCGCGGCAGTCCTGAGCTGCAAAAAAAACAAAACACTGTGTGACCCAGCGTCTCCGTCAAGTGCTGCGGCTTGACGCTGCGTCCAGCTTCAAACTGCCGTAGTGTGACCGAGGCCTTACCCACATACTTCACGTACAAACTAGCACGCGGGGAGCCCCAAGTCATAAAATATTAACTGGTTTGAGGGAAAGAGACAAACGGGAAAGGTCTGAAGAAAAAATTGACTGCCACCACCAGGACTCGAACCAGGGACCCTCGCTTGTAGCCAGCGATGCTCTAACCACTGAGCTATGGTGTAGTCGTCATACCAGCAGAGGCCGTTCAACATTTTCTTCAGACTTCGTAACTCACACTTCCTGTGAATCTACACAGGCGGGTGGGACGCAGCCCTCACTGTAACCCACACACTTCACGTACAAACTAGCACGCGGGGAGCCCCAAGTCATAAAATATTAACTGGTTTGAGGGAAAGAGACAAACGGGAAAGGTCTGAAGAAAAAATTGACTGCCACCACCAGGACTCGAACCAGGGACCCTCGCTTGTAGCCAGCGATGCTCTAACCACTGAGCTATGGTGTAGTCGTCATACCAGCAGAGGCCGTTCAACATTTTCTTCAGACTTCGTAACTCACACTTCCTGTGAATCTACACAGGCGGGTGGGACGCAGCCCTCACTGTAACCCACACACTTCACGTACAAACTAGCACTTCTTTTCTTTCTTTTTTCTTTTTAAATCTTTTCCTTACATTTGTGTGCCTGTAACTTTAGTCGATCTCATGTAATAAGGCAACACTGCCTGTTTGTCATTCGACGTTAAATAAACCAATCCAAAAAAATGTGATGGGAGTGTTGAGCTGGTCTTTTGCCCTGGATGCCTGTGCATGGGAGAAGGCTGTATGTTCATGTATGTTCTCCTTGATCCACTTCGTCTGTGCACCTCGTTTTGTTTTCCGTTGCGCGTTTGCCATGCCTTTGCAGAAAGTCAACTCGGAAGGCTTTCGTAAGATCTGCAAGAAACATGATAAGGTGAGTGTGTTATTGCTTTGCACGCGTATTGTCACTGATGTGTCCTCTGTTGTGTGCTCAACCATCTTCAACAAGCAGTACTGTCCCCAAGTTCTTTTTCTACCTGTTGACCTATTGACCTATTATTTCTTATTATTTAGTATTATTATTAAATTTTGAATAGGGCATTCGCATAGTTGTTTCATAGACAGCCCCCTTGCATCCCACGGAGGCATGAAGTTGGTAAAGAACAAAGAAGATATTCTCCCTTCTTCGGAAAACCCCCTTTGGTGATTTCAGTGATGGTAGTGCAGTACAATGACACAAGCTATCATGATAAGTATCCTCTTGTACTACTATCGGGCGCCGAAGAATGAACAGGTTACGATTTCACCAAGCACAGCATGCCGATGAATGTGCGCTGACTCGATCACGCATAGGCTGTAGTACAGTCCATGATAATAAAACAGCCTGGCACTACCCCCCCCCCCCCCCCCCCCTGCATCCCGGACTTCGGCGCCTGCCCGATGAATATTGCGCTGACTTGATCACGCATAGGCTGTAGTACAGTACATGATAATAAACAGCCTGGCACTAATCCCCCCTCTGGTCTTGGGCCCAAATCCCCCCCCCCCCCCCCCCCTCCCGGACTTTGGCGCCCGCCAGTAGTACAGCCACCGAACCATGCAGAATAGCATGCTTGTTGACATCTACTTGTGCTGTCCTTGCCCTGTCGTTTCGGCATTATCCCAGATGCTCTCCGTGACGACCGGTATGGACTTCTACAAGGAGAAGGTGCTGAAGTCTCACTACCATGTATCCGAGTCTACTGGCAATCTTATCCTTCAGACGGAGGTAGGGCCTGACAGCCGGGACTTGTGTTGTGTTGTGTGAATCTGAGTTCTGCGAATGCATTCAATGTGTTTGTACCTCTTTTGTATCTCAATGTTATGGTTTCTCAACTGTTGGGCTATGACAGTGCAGTTCTGCTTTTACGTGCAAGTAAAGTGTTAATTGTAGGACCACTGCAGTAAGAGACTGACTTTATTTCTTTCCTTTTCTGTCACCTTCTGGCGTGCCTGCATGCACGCACGCACGCACGCACACACGCCCACCCTTTGACCTGTGTTGAGATATGAAAGACGGTGACAGTGCATGCTGAAGGGCTGGAAGTTAGCCAGGTACAACTGGTTGTGGTCAGTGGAGCAGCACCTGCTATCTTTTAAGACCAGTTTTCTTTGACTGCTAAACGCAGGATCTACTGAATATGTTACAGTCAATTTTGCGTATAACGACACTCGGGGAGGGGGGGGGGGGGGGGGCATCAGAAAAGTGTCCTTATTCGCGAAGTGTCGTTATACCCGAAGTCTCATTATGTGTATTACAGTTAGATGGGACTTCGCTCTGGGCATGGAAATTCTGTCGGTTTTCGCGGATTGTTGTATCCGCAGTCGTAATTAGCAAAGTTGACTGTACTTCAACCACATTACATTGTGTGTATGTGTGTTGTCAATCGTGTTTGTCTTTCTTTCTCAGAACGCTGTCATTGAGCGACTAGAGGACGGCAACAGACAGAAAGCAATGAACAAGCTAAGAGTGCCACCGCTTGATGCTCGGGTTAGTAGTCGTCATTGAAAACTTTTAAAATTGGTGTGTGTGTGTGTGTGCGCGCGTGGGGTGGGGGGGGGGGGGGTGCATGGGTGTGTTTATGTGTATGTATGTGTGTGTGTGGGGGGGGGGGGGGGGCAATATCAACTGGGCATCTGTCAGCTTCAGCAGTGGCATTGAGATTGAATATTGTTTCTGTAATTTTCTGGACTTTTTCCTATATTACGCAGCCTTACTTATACTTCTACAGTATGTTTTCTCTATCTCACTCTTCTTATGTGCTCCATGTCTTTCATTCTCCCGTACAGGTTGAGTCGTCTGACTTGTTCCGACTAGGACTGTGGCTGGGCATGCTATTCATGGCTCTACTTGCATTGATTTTAGGAGGTATGTCTTTAGAGGTGGAGGTGTTGTGTGATAGTTGGTGTGTGGGTGTATGTATGTGGGTGGGTAGACGTGTGTGGGTGTGCGCGTATGTGTGTGTGTGTGGGGGGGGGGGGGGGGGGTGCGTATGTGGGGGGGGGGGGGGGGGGGAGGTGCATGGGTGGGAATGTTCCACCGCATCACAATGCACATCAACCTACTCTGTTCAGACAGGTGATTGTATCTCATACATAGGACTGCAACTGTTCACCTGTGCTACATAGAAAGTGTGCAGTAAGCAGGTGACCATGCTTTTTACATGCACCGTTGCGAAAACACCCTGCTCCAACTACTATACCCGATCGGGTTCTGAGGAGCAAACTGCTTCCCGAATACCCGCTCGAATTACGGGTAGCACAGGTACCTTACTACTCGATTACATCCTTACTCATAAGCCACGCAGATCGCGTAGAGTGTATTTTCAGGCTTGCTCTGCGGCCCCAGATGACCGGTCTGTAAAGACCGGGTGGTCTCACTGCTGTCACTTACTCCAGGTTCTGCTCTCTCCTGTACTGCTTGTATAAAATTAGAGGCTTAGCCGGAATAGAATCCTGGTTTAGTAAAACCTGGTGTAAGCGACCTCTGTGTTTAGCGACCACCTGCTCTTAACGGCCGTTTTTCCATGCACCGGCAGTTCTACACAGAAACTGTGGGACCCGGTTCTAAAGACCACCTGGCTTTAACGACCGCTTTTGCTTGCACGGTGGGGTGGTCGCTTAAACCAGGTTTTACTTTATATGGGTACAAGCCTGGTCATCAGGATTGGCGCTTGGTGCATAAAAGAAACACCATGATAGCTCGTTGCTTCCAACATGATTTCGGTATGTGAAAACAAAACAGTGCGTCTTTTACTGTCAACTTTGCGGCATCCACACTCTGTTCTCTACTTCTGTTCTACCTTTCTTGTCTTTCCTGTGCTTCTCAGGTGTATATATTGACATTAGTAAGATAGATCGAGCAACAGAAGTGTTGCGCTTGTTTCGCTTTGGATTTATCATCCTACTGATGGTATTCCTGATCGGCGTCAACTTCTACTATTTCCGGCGGGCAGGCGTCAACCACGTGCTCATATTTGAAGTCAACCCGCGTGATAACCTAGCCGGCTTGAAGATAATGGAAGTGAGTGCTGGCTTGTTGACGTTTGCGTGCTGTTGTAGTTGCTCGTGTCACCGCTGCGTGCTCGGCTCTCATGGTGTTCCCTGTGTTAAGAGGAGGGTTGTATCTTCTTGGGGGGAGAGGATATCCGTTGATCATGCTCTGTGAAGATGGGTATAATATTTTGGAAGTGGCTAGCAGCCCAGTTGAAGTCATCGACTCATTGCCATGTGTCGCGGGAGATCGCCAGCAGAGTATATCCTCTTCTTGGAAGAAAGCCTAATTTCTAACGGTGAAGATCGAAAGAGCTACAACAGTCCATTTCAAAACTATAGACGCGTACCTAGGCAAAAACCGTTATGCCAGCATCTATACCACATAAAATCTGTGATCACTTTGTGCATAATTTTTCCAAATTGGGCGTCTGTTATCCAATCGTTTAGGAACTATATGAGAGTAATTGTGGAGCGGACCTGAGCAATATTCCGAAAACTATTCTCAAAATGTTCCAGCCAAATTTGAATTATTTCAAAAACACTACGCGTCTACAGTTTTGAAATGGACTGTAGCTGTTCGGAGATTGAGTATTTACTAGTTACCAAATTACCACGCATGTGTATTTGGTAGTGCTTATTGTAGTCCGTTCGGTGTCATGATCACAGAACAGAGTTTTCGAAGACATCGGGACACCAGAGATCAGATTGAAGGGAGGCGGGGGTGAGGAATGAGGGTGTTTCGCCCGTTCCCTCTGGAAACTCGCTTACACTGTTACGAGTACACAGACATCGTGCTGGAACTGATCATACGTAGAAAAATATAATGCTTCAGGGAACACCTAGACCGTTTTTGCTAATGCCGTAAAATCCCACCAGATCGCCCCTACCTCCGCCACCCTTCGAGTAGGTCCAGGTAGGGAGGGGCGGATGGGCGAGTCCTACTTACCGCATTGCCACCCTTCGAGTAGGTCCAGGTAGGGAGGGGCGGATGGGCGAGTCCTACTTACCGCATTGCCACCCTTCGAGTAGGTCCAGGTAGGGAGGGGCGGATGGGCGAGTCCTACTTACCGCATTCAGTACTACATGAACAAGTTCTCACCCTACGAAAACTGTTCGTGCATCTCGTACACCAACCAAAGGGCAAGAGGCAGGAGTCGTACAGACCCATCAAAACTCAGGGTTTGTGCGATCCCTGGTCCAGATGGTAGGCACTGTTGCGTACATTTCCAACCGGGTCGAGCACGCGTCTGCAGTACAGTACGGCATCACAGAGTCATACGAGGATACAATCAATCACTTCCCTGACAAGAAGTCAGGGAGGGGCGCATGGGAGAGACGGGGCGCTCTGGCGGGATTTTACGGTACATGTGTGTTCTTCTAATGACATCTTATCCTGTGAATTGTACTGGTTGGCAAGCTGGTGCCTGTGTTGTTGCTCCATGCAAAGTACATCTAGTGGCGCCGATGTATAAAATCTATCTGTGTGCAACTGGCGAACAGTAGCACCAAACGGTATTGTCCTAGTCCTCGCCTGTTTCTGTCTCTTGCCTCCTCCCACTGTGCGTTGTGTGCAGATTTCGTCCATGTTAGCTACGCTGTGGATCTTCTGTGTCCTCTTCTACATGTATCTTGACCTCGCTGACGTGCCTATCAGGTCTAGACTCGGTATTCCCATAGCCGCCGCAGTATTCCTCGTAGTTTACCTGCTCAATCCACTGCCTATCTTCCATTACTCGGCGCGTCGGTGGCTGCTGCGGAGACTGGTACGTACTTGTACAGCACTGCTTCTTGGTGAAACATGGAAATCCCAATGCTAGTATGCGTACATTATACTCTAATTTCAGAAATTTTAGGTGCTCAATATTTTCTGTATGAGGGCAAAAGGCCAGGTTAGGTGAACAGAAATTTTCGGTACAGAGAAGCAGTTCCCTATTGGACTATGTGTGTTAGTGTTTTTTCGGTGTATTGAAATTTTAGGTATGAAACAGATTCACCGAAAGTATCGAAGATATAAGTATATGTACACCGAAAATTTGTGAAATTGCAGTACTGTAAAAGCAGAAATTTTCGGTTGTGTTTTATTTTCAGTAACTTCTGTGCCGACAATTTTTTACCGATAATAAAACGCACCGAAAATTTCGGTATACATGTAGTATTAGTACACCTACCTGGAGAACGGGTTTTACCGAAAATTTCCCTCTACTGAACCGCCGATTTTGGCGAACACCGAAAATATTACACCACCGAAAATTTCTGCTTTTACAGTCTGGTCACAGTGTGGTGAGGGATGTAGCTGCATCTACAGTCGTGCTCGGTGAAGTTCAACTCAAAGTGCACATTTGGCACCCTCAACTAACTTGCATGGCCCCTGACGCCCTGGAAATGGTACGAATGCAGCTGTACGTACGCGTGTACAGATGAAGTCATGTACATTGATGTATACGCACCCTGGGTCAGATTTCAGTGAGCGCAACTGTACATCAGCTGCCCTGAACGACTAAATGAAATTGCCCTAGCATTGTCAACATCTCAGGATGTCCCCCCCCCCCCCCCCGCCCTGTCCGTCGAGCTTGGATTGCTGAATGGCCCCCTTAGAAATTCAATCCCGTCGACTTGTGTCTGATTTTGTCATTCCGATCTTGTATCTCGTTTTGTTCAGGCACGCATAGCCACGGCACCTTATTTCAGCGTGGAGTTTGCTGATTTCTGGCTGGCCGATCAACTGAACAGTGTGGCGGTTAGCTTTGGTGACTTGGAGTATCTCGTGTGCTTCTACATCTTCGACTGGAACCGCGACCCGTTCATTGGTGAGCACGTTGCCTGGAATTGCTGTACAGTTCTGCTTGTACGGCTGCGCTCCGTGAAATCCGACCCAGCGTGCAAAAGTGGGCACCCTGATCACCTCATTGTAGGTGTACATGCGTACGTCCAACCGCATTCGTACCACTTGCAAGGCACCAAGGGCCGTGCAAGTTGAGGGGTGCCAACTTTGCACTCTGGGTCGGATTTCATCGAGCGCAACTGTGGTTCTTCCTGTGTGCCTGAGGAAGCCCAAATGTTAGAAAGCAGTAGCGAAGGGGGTGGTGTTCGCCTCGAGTTGTCCCACTCAATTCTCAAAGAGCACAAGGAATCCCGGAATAAACAACTGACTTCTTCGTGAAACTTCAAACGAATATAAATGAGCTCACGAGCAGGATCGCCCTGGCCCGTGGCAAAGCGGTTTCTATGACGTCACGTGCACATCCACATCGATGGGCAGCTTGCACGTGTGTGTCTGCTGCATGGTGCCACAGCTTGACAGGGGACTTTGTGCACTCCCATGTAGATACTAGTCGTAGTAGTAGTTTGTAGTTCAGGGAATTCCCACTATCTAGGGAAATTGGTACTAGTTGGCCGTGTCTTCAGTTTGGAGTAACCCGTAAGTCAAAACCTCTTTGTACAGGTAAATTTCGTGTAGGTAGACTATTTTATTTAGTCTGTTTTGGCGATCAATATGTTTGATGGATATGTTTGATCAATATGCTTGGTGCCGTTTTCACTCTCTTTGCGCTGTGTGTGTGTGTGTGTGTGTGTGTGTGTGTGTGTGTGTGTGTGTGTCTCTCTCTCTCTCTTTCTCTCTATCTATCTCTCTCTCTCTCTCTCTCTCTCCCTCTCTCTCTCCCTCTCTCTCTCCCTCTCTCTCTCTCTCCCTCTCTCTCTTTTTCTCTCTCTCTCTCTCTCTCTCTCTTTCTTTCTCTCTCTTTCTCTCTCTCTCTCTCTCTCTCTCTCTCTCTCTCTCTCTCTCTCTCTCTCTCTCTCTCTCTCTCTCTCTCTCTCTCTCTCTCTCTCCAAACGACTGCAGAACACAACCACAAGTGTGGAGTGGTTACTTATGGACTCAGACCAATAATTCTCGCTCTGCCGGCGTGGTTCCGTTTCGCACAATGTCTCAGACGCTACTACACTACAAAGGACGGAGACCCACATCTTATTAACGCCGGAAAGTACTCCACGACCTTTGTCGTTGTCCTCTTCTCGTCCCTTGTCAGTTGGGAAAAAGGTACTCGTTCTTGTGGAATTGTATACCTTGAGGCTGTGTCTATTTCTTTCTTGCTTTCTGGGCGAAAGCAATTGCACGTGTTGGTTGACAACCGGTATCACGTGCGTTTACAGTGTGCGTTACGACCTTTTTCGGACAGTCGCTTATAGGCAATTCACATGACAGGCACTTGCACGTTTTACAGCGAGTGATTCACGAGAAAAGTGACTGTGTGGATTCACACGGCTGCACTCGACGACAGGCACGTTTGCATTTTTGAATGATTCACCCACCAGTTGCCATGAGTATTTCAAATTTTCAAAACACGAGTACGATAATTATCATGGTGAAAAGAGCCGCTTAAAAAATCTAGTCTTGTTTCGCGCGTTTTGGTGTAAATGTACTCGTGCACGCCACGATTATCGTGAAAGTGGGCTCCCAGCTCGCTTGCACTTTTCAGCCACTCTCAGCCACCTTTCTCGTTCACAGGTGAAATACCATAGCAAAGTTCCGTGCACGTGGATTTGCCTGTCGTGTGAATCGCCTATTATTAATACGTGATTGTCTCCTGGTTGTTGTTTGTTTGTCTGCTCTTGCCGCTAGGTATGAACAACGGTGACCAGCAGTACTCCTATTTGTTTGTCTTGTGGGTGCTGAGTGCTCTGGTTAGCACTACCTACACCTCCTACTGGGACCTATTCAGAGATTGGGGCCTCATGAACAGGAATTGCCAGCATCGCTTCCTGCGCCAGGAGCTGGTCTACAGCCGCAGGGTGAGCTGTGTGGGTGTGGTTGTGTCAAGACGTATGCACTTTCGGCCGTGGGTGTCTGTCCTTGTGTGCATGCGTGCGTCTTGGGACGGAACTTGCGAAATTAAATTTCCTTTGAATAGTTCTGCTTTTACGGCAGTTTGTTTGCCAGAAAGGATTGAATTTTACGGTTTTTGTGAATGTACTCTGGCCAGTGCGCTGGCTTTTTGAGATCTTTACCAGCAGACTGTGTAGCATGATCTTGCCTACGGTTGTGTACTTTGTGAGTACACTGTGTTTGTTGCACTGGTATCTGTCTGATCAGGCCAGGGTGGGAATGAGCTTGGGAAGGTGGTTTACCGTCAGGCGGAGTGATTTACGTGGGTGCGAGTATGCGGGCTGCGAAATACCATGCAATCAGCGTATTGTTGATACGAGATGCGCCGTACCTGCATGGTGCACCGTACCCCTGACCAATTCATGTGCTCCGCTTGTACTCTGTACTCCGCACTCACCCATATTTCTGTGTCCGTATTGTCGTCCTGTGTTGTGTTTTGCATTTCCTGCTTCACAGTGGTGCTATTATGTAGCCATGGTGGGTGATGTAGTCATGCGCTTGTTGTGGACACTGACCGTTTCTATCGGGGAAGGTGGCCTGATTCACTCCGAGCTCCTCAAGACCGTCCTGTCCGTTATCGAGGTGTTTCGGTAAGCTTTGGCGTTGCTGATGCTTACGCTGTTTCTTTGAATTCTGGGAAGAATGGGGGGGGGGGGGGGGCTATGGTTGGCTGAGCCTATAGTGAGTTTTAGTCAAAAGTTCACCCATCCTCTGGGTATTGTGGGGATGTCAGTTACTGCAGCTGGGTATGGCTGTGAGGATTTCCTATTTGCTTTTTTGTTGAGATGGTGATTCCTTCCGACTGTTATTAGCATGCTTATGTGCTTTGCGTTCTCACCCGTTGTCGCTGTCCTTGTATTGCAAACTTGAGTGTGTGTGTGTGTGTGTCCGTGAGTGTATGTGTGAGTGTGTGTGCGTGTGTTCATTTGCGTCCATCCGAATCTCGCCCATATGACGATTACTATCAAATCAGAATGCTTTTGGCATGTTTAATGTATTTCATTCATCTGCGTGCTCCTGTCTCCGTGTCCGTTTGCCCGTAGGCGATTTGTCTGGAACTTCTTTCGTCTGGAGAACGAGCACTTGAACAACGTGGGTCAGTTCCGCGCAGTGCGTGACATTTCCATTGTCCCGCTGCCACAGACCCGCACCAGCAGTGAGCCGAATCAGATGGCAGCCGAGCGGGCGACCACCGTGGACGAGGTGGACGCCGGGGACGACGACGAGAATGACGACTTTGAGATGCAGAACTCGGGCGGCGACCAATCCTCTGTGCACGCGTGCGCCTCGCTGTCGTCGCTACGTTCCCACCCGATCCCGATGGCCACCGTCTCGGAGTCACAGGCAGCGGAAACGTTTCAACTGACGGGACGAGAGCAGCTCGTGTCTCAGCGGTCGGATCGGCGACGGATGGAGTTTCACACCAGTGTGTAATGATTCGCCGTTGTCATTTGTGTCCATGCGGCAATGCTTTGAACTTGAGCCCTGGCTGCTCTCTCTCTGTTTTCCTCCTGTCTTGTTATCATGTCTAGAATCCTGTAAGCTGTCTGCGCTTTTTTTTTAAATCCCGTGTACTGCCTTTTCCCGTCTTATCTGTTTGGTATCTCTCCCACTCGGTGTGTGTGTGTGTGTGTGTGTGTGTGTGTGTGTGTGTGCGTGTGCGTGTGTGTGTGTGTGTGTGTGTGTGTGCGTGTGTGTGTGTGTGCGTGTGTGTGTGTGTGTGTGTGTGTGTGTGTTTGTCATGTTAAAGTAGCTTGTTTTACCAGCCGGCTGAACTTCGATTTCCCTTGAAAACATGTCCTTTTCCTGCATGCACAGCCTTCTGGACTTGATAGCTTTCTGTTTGATTTCTCCTGGTCTTGATCGATGTCCTGTGTGTTCATTTGTATGTTCAGTATCAATGTGATTGTGTTTTATGTTACGAAGATAATGATATGTGTCTACCAGCTACAAGCAGGTGTATCTACGCTTTAGTCTTCCTCAACTTCAACCATTCTTACCCGATTTTTATTCCGCCTATCTGCGGCAAACCAGTATTCACTGGGCTGGTCCTGGTTTTATTCTATTTATTTTTTTCTCAGCCGTCTTTTCAATTTGTGATAGCATTGTAAGAATGCCTACATCCTGACCTGTGTGTGTGTGTGTGTGTGTGTGTGTGTGTGTGTGTGTGTGTGTGTGTGTGTGTGTGTGTGCGT